GGGGAATCAGTGCATTTGCTGCTACACCCTGCTGACTATGGAGACCTCATCTAAGACTGAAATCAGTAACACTCCAATGAGGAATTTCAACCAACGATTTTCTTTTTGTATATAGGTGGTGTCATGGGCAGAAGGTGAGAGTGTAAAGAACGCCAACTGTCAGCGCGGCCTAAAGGAAGGCTGAAGAGGAAGCTGCTCCTTTATCTCTAGTTTCTGCCAAGCCCAAGCTATCTCTGCCAGGTTGTTCTCCAAAGGAGAAGCTGGTAGGTTCATACTTCCAAGTCTTTTGTTTCATACCTGAGCACTTTAACCACGTACCTCCACAACTCCTGGAGCTAGGGCCCACCCCTATGGCATTTGTTATGGTACTGTTCCTAAATAAGGTCACATTCACAAGCACGGGTGATGGACATTAACATAATGGTTTGAGGGACACAGATCAGCGTATAACTTTAGGGCCTTTTCACTCCCACTCCATAAAATGTTAGACAGGGTCTTGAAAGTCACGTTCTTCGCTTTTTCCGGTGAAGAAATAGATTTTAAAAACAAGATGAAATATGCTCCAGATCTCTGCAATGGTGACTACAGACTGCATTAGAATTCAAATCTCTAAACTCATGTCACTCCATTAAAGAGAAGACAGAACTACTCATTTGTGGATGACGTCAGGGGCCATCAAGTTGATTTTGTTTGTTTTTTTGTTTGTTTGCTTGTTTTTAAAGTTGCTTTTAACTCATAGGACCTTATAGCCAACAGAAACACTGTCAGGTCCTATGCCATCCTCACACTTTTTCTTATGGTTTGAGCCCATTGTTACAACCACTGTGTCAGTCAATCCCATTGAAGACATTCTTTTTCGCTTACCTTCTACTTTACCAAGCATGTTGTCTCTTTCCAGAGATGCTCTCTCCTGACAATGTGACCAAAGCAAGTCAGACAAAGTCTCACCATCCTTGCCTCTAAAGAGCATTCTGGCTGTACTTCTTCCAAGATAGGTTTGTTTGTTCGTTTGGTAGTCCATGGTACTTTTCTTTTTTTGGTACTTTCAATACTCTTCAACACTAGAAGTCAAATGCATAGGTTCTTCTTCAGTCGTCCTTACTCAATGCTCAACTTTCACATGCATGTGAGGGAATGGATAATATCATGGCTTGGGTTGGGTGCACCTGAGTTGTCAAAGTAATCTCCTTGCTTTTCAACACATTAAAGCAGTCTTGTGCAGCAGATTTACCCAATGCAATGTATCATTTGCTCTCTTGAAAGCTGCTTCCATCAGCACTGATTGTGGATCCAAGAAAGATGAAATCCTTAAAAACTTCAGTCCTTTCTCTGTTTATCTTGATGTTACCCATGGATCCAGTTGTAAGAATTTTGGTCTTCTTTTCATTGAGTTGCAATCCATACAATTCAGTAGTGGATAAAACTCATAAACTGACACTGCCTGTAAACTCTCACAAAACATTTTTGAACAAGAAAGACAGTGTTTAGTTCTTATTGACCCTAAAAAGAAAACCTTTTCTAGACGTCAGCTCCATCTCTTGGCGGAACTGTGCTCCACGGGGTTTTTAATGAATGAGTTTTTGGAAGGACATTTTCAAGAGTTTTTGGGTAGATCGAATCTTCAATATTCCTTTATGAGCTGAGCACATTAGCCATTTGTATCTCCCAAGAACCATGACAAATGCCATAAAGTTGATTTTGACTTATAGCCACCACATGTCTTTCAGAGAAGTTCCATGGTGCTGTATGGCTCTGGCCTTTTAGAAGCAGATTGTCAGGCCTATTACCAAAGCACCTGTGGATCCTCCGTTAGTAGTTGAGCACTTAACTATTTGTGCGGAGTGGAGACCCAAAGCCCATCTGTAGGCAATTGGACATCCCCTTACAGAAGGGTCTCGGGGAGGAGACGAGCCAGTCAGTGTGTAGTGTAGCAATGATGAAACATACAACTTTCCTCCAGTTCCTAAATGCTTCCTCCCCTCCACTATCATGATCCCAATTCTACCTTACAAATCTGGCTAGACCAGAGGATGTACACTGGTACAGATAGGAACTGGAAACACAGGGAATCCAGGGCCGATGATCCCCTAAGGACCAGTGCTGAGAGTGGTGATACCGGGAGGGTGGAGGGAGGGTTGGGTAGAAAGGGGGAACCGATTAAAAGGATCTACATACAACCACCTCTCTGGGGAATGGACAACGGAAAAGTGAGTGAAGGGCGATGTCGGACAGTGTAAGACATGACAAAATAATAATATATAAGTTATCAAGGGTTCATTAGGGAGGTGGGAGCGGGGAGGAAGGGGGAAAAAATGAAGAGCTGATGCCAGGGGCTTAAGTGGAGAGCACCACAAACTAAAGGTTTTTGGTTGCAGAACCTACACACTAAACCAAACGCACTGTCATCGAGTCAATTCTGACCCAGGTGCCGCTGGAGGACAGAGTAGAACTGCCCCGGGGAGTCACCAAGATTGTAACCCTTTACAGGACTAGAAAGCTTTAGTCTTCTCCCCGGGAGAAAGGTTCAAACTCTCAGCCTTGTAGTTAGTGGCCCAACGAGTTACCCACTATGCCACCTGGGGGGTCCTAAAATGGCATCTATTAAACTGGCTTTAGAGGCATATGAAACCCTTAACACTATAAGCAAAGTTGTGTATATATCTGCATGAGTACATTTTCTTGAGGAAAGAAATAGTGGTTTGGGGAAGATGCTCAGAACATAAAGATCCATGCACCAGAATGGATTTTGTAACAGAAAATCTAACTACACTCTTTAACATGCCAACTGAGGAAACTTGGTCAGATGACTTGACCTCTCCTCTCCTCAGTCTTCTCAACTGTGAAAAGGGAGGTGGCCGGCACCGTGATTTGTCCACCAGTATACATGCCCCGCTTTCCTTTTGGGCCATGTGCCCAGTGAAAATATGGATCATCCAGCAATCCCTTGTAATTAGGGGTTACGTGGGCAAGTTATGGGTAATGAGATGTCACTTGAAGTTGCTTTTGGGGGGAAAAAAAGTTCTGTTTTTCAGACGAAAAGAAATCAAAGAAAAAACAAAAACAAAACCCCCCACATGCCATTTGGCCAACCTTTCCCCCTTTCTGCCTGAGACACATATGCAATGTCCATCTCACCAGCATGAGAAGGTAAGCCACACGCTAAGGAGGGCTGAACCAGAAAGCAGGCGAAGATGCCCTTCTGGATGGCTTGTGTGTGTGGTCACACACAATGTGGGCTGATGGGCTCCTGATTGTTGGCATCATGAGGAAAACAAGCTCTATACTAGACTTCAGTCACTTGCAAGCAAATACAGACTTTGATGAGATTATCCATTTCAGAGGGTCTGGCACAACATGAGAATCTAACAAACGTGAGCTATTATTCCGACCATGACTACTTTAATTACCACCATTACTGCTACCACTCCCATCACTACTTTTGCTACAATGTAGCCTGGAGCATAGGTTTTCCCGTGCAGGAAGAGTGTAACAATGAATATCTATCTGGCAAAACAGGTACAGATCACACTAGGTATCAGGTTTATGAGCCAACTGGTGGTCAGCAGGCTTAGAAAACCAGTGAGAGAGTTTGTAGGGGACCACTAGCCCTGGGAGCACTCTTGGATAGTTCAATTCTGTCTGTTGGGTCACTGTGAGCCAGAAGCGACTTGAAGGCAAGCAGGCATTCTGGTTTAGTAACCCAATGTCTCGTGATAAAGAACTCAACATCACGGAGGAAAAGTCCCGGCGAGGGGGGAAAGATAGTCTCAGGATCAAGCATCAGGTCAGGGCAGATGTTTTGTACAGCAGGTCATTAACCAACCAATGTGTCTTTTAGCCTCACCTTTTCCCCTTGCCCTGCCATGGCCTTGGGCTAGTGTCATCTACAGCGAGAGTCACCCTAGAGTGCATGACCCGGGGCATGATCAACAGAACTGTCCCAGGCAAACTGGGAGGTATGGTCAGCGCCTCATCACATGTTCAGACTACTACCAGCCTTGATTCCCATGGGCTTTTAGCCACAGGTCTCAAAAGTACATACTGTATTGCAGTTGATGACGCTCCATCGAAGGCCTTTAGCTTATGGAAAAGTAAGAGAATTGTCCTATTATTTATATTTAAGAAAGCTTTTAGTTGTGTTAGTTAGGGTAGGGGAAAAACTGAAATTCATGATAAGAAATGCTTAAGTGTGGTAGTTACATAATCTACTGTCAATTGAGACTTAGGAGTGAAGTGGTGGAGTTTGGCCTGTCAATCAGGTCACAGCTTGATGACCTCATTTGGAGGCACTAAGGAGATAAAGGCAGGACAGTCCCTGTGAGACATTCTTGTTGACAAGCCACATGGAGATAGTGTGATAGCAGCCAGAGCCTCGGAATTGGAGGAGCCACATGGAGACCCCTGCCAGCACTGAGATGCTCACACCACCACTGGATCCACAAGATTTCCCACCCACGGCCCTGTGATCGTCCTGCACTCAGCGTCATCGGGTGTGTTTTGTGAGTCTGAAGAGGACTTTATCTATTGATATCGGACATATGGGCTAATATTGGACTTATGGACTTGATCTGGACTGGGCTGGGATGTTTACTTACTGTACAATTACTCATTATATAAAGTCTTTTCTTACACACATGAGTGTTTATGAATTTGTTTCTCTACTCAACCCAGACTAACACACTAAGTTTCGACAGGTTACTTATTGTTGGTCATTTACATGAATTTCAGTTTTTCACTACTTCCAAGAGCCCTGGTGACACCAGGGGGAAGAGAAAGGCTGGAGATCCAGACCCACCCAAGCACTCTGTGTGAGAAACACTTGGTGTCGGCCCCTGTGATTGGAGACTGGAAAGCGCCATGGAACCGTGGTACAGTCGTATGGGGTGACTGCGTTG